GGTGAACAACTTTTAAATTCATTCATTCTAGTTACCTTTGGAGTTCTCCTGTCCATTTGAGTTATCTGTTTAACTTGGGCTCTTACATTTCTTTAGAGACATTAATGCCTATCAGTAAATAACAGTGTGTTTTTTATAAATTGTTTGGAATTTCAGACTTCCTGCATTTAGAGTAGGCACCCAGGATATGACAAGTATTCATATACTAATGGTTTTTATGAGGACCCTGAGTCTTTTTTAAGCTATCAAATGATTCATCCCTCAAGATCTGAAAATCAACAGGGCTCTGTTAATTGTTTTTGTTTATCATGGAGGTTAACCACTGTTTGATTTCAGCTATGGCATTCTAATAATAATTCAATTCATGAATAAGGTAAGAACACCTTATCTGAAAAGAAATCTTAGAAAGCAATATACATGTGAGAGAAAGAAAAATAAGTCCCACTTTGAGAATTTCAAAAGAACGGAAAAATGTAATTCGAAGTTTTTCATTAGTGTCCATTTCTCTACAGAAAATGAGAGATTATGTGTTTACCTGTGAAGATAGTTATCTTATAATGTGCATAGCTCTTTATAAACGTGTGTGCTGGTTTGAATAGTCATTGCCACACAGTCTCTAAATGACAGTTTGTGTTAGATCCAGAGACGCGTAAGACCTTCTTTGGTAAAAGACCAGCTCTCTAATTGTCTTACTCCTATTTAAAGAAATGCAACAAATGCTACTAGTTTCTTTGTTGTCTTGTAATTTTAGAAAATTCAGGGAGAACGTAAATGTGGAGCCAGAATGTGCAAGAGAGACTAAGATAAACAACAGATCCTAACACAAGTTACCACAGCAAGTGGAACAGGTAGTTCAACTTAAAAGTTATATCCTCCACACCATAAATACATCTGACCTCTCAACATCAAGAGATACTAGTGTGGACATTTTGACATTGATTTTAATGAGGAACAGGTAGACACCGAGTTAAGACTTAGCATGATGTACTCTGATTCCTGTTAGCTAACTCATGGTTTTTAAATATTTCCAGGTATTGATTTGAGAGTCAGCAGTCCTGAGTCCCTCAGGCCCACACTTGCTGGAAACCAGTAGTGTTATCTCAGAACTTCAATCCATCATATGTAGACAAGGGACATTGGAAAATATAATTTCGAACTTCCTTCCATTTCTAAAATAATCTATTTCATTTTAGAAACCTAGAATCAAATTTGACAAAGTAAATAAAGATATCACTACTTGATACCCTCAGGATGAATAAAGCAAAAGAACCAAGGGAGTAACTGCATCTGGTTAACTTTGTAGAAACAGCATAATACTGATTTTTAAAAAAGGTCAAGCAAAACTTTTCTGACATTTACTTCCTGATAGGAGTATGGCTTGGTGCAACATGCCTGGAAAGCCATTTGGTAATATATATGAGGAACTATAAAAATGCCCATTAACTTCTGATTCAGTAATTTCACAGCTAAGAATTCATCCTAAGGAAGAATTGGGATAAAAGTTGACTGACAAAGTTTCTCATCACAGTATTCTGTGTAATTGGGGAAACTGGAAAAGCAAAACTATGTATGTTACAAGAAGATGATGCTTAGCTCTGGCCTGGTGCGTGGCTCAGTTGGTTGGAGCATTGTCCCATACACAAAAAGGTGGTGGTTTCGATCCCCGAGAGGTCACGGCACATACCTAGGTTCAGGTTCCATCCCTGGTTGGGGTACATATACTCAAATTCTTTAAAAAAAAAGATGATGCTAAAAGCATGGTTAATTCAAATGGTAAGAAATATGTGATTCTTTGTTGTCATCATAAGTAATTCCAGTATCTTGACACATAGGTGCCAGGAAGTGCCAGAGAAGTATTACTTCATTCAGTAAATATTTGAGTGTCTACTCTGTGCAGACACCATTCCAGGCTCTGAGGATAAAGCAGTAAATAAGAGACAGATCCATCTCCTGGCTTCCTGGAGCTTATGATGCTCCAGTGAGGATAGGCAATCAATCAATCAATCATCAGTTATTGTTTTTTTTAAAGCAGGTAAATATGTAGTGTATCAGATGATTTAAAGTGTTATGTGTGGAGAAAAATGAATCAGGGTAAGGTTGTGGGAGTATGGAGGAGGGGACTTATTATTTTATAGGGGATAGTCACAGCAGTTCTCACTGATGAGTCTTTTGAGTAGAGACCTGAGGCAATCAGAGGATGAGACATGTACTGTAGATACCCAGAAAGAGTGTTCTAGATAGAGGGCTCTGAAACAGAAGCACACTTGGTATATTCATGAAATACTACACAAAGTCAGTGAGTCTGGACTGGATGAACTAGGGCAGGAAATGAGTTTGGACAGGAGGGAATGCAGGCTATGTGGGCCCCTGAGGGTCACTGCAAGGACAGTGAACTTAATTAAACCAGAAATTAAGTCATTGATATTTACTGAGTCCTCATTGTGTAACCTAATATTGGGTGACCAATAACTGGCTATATATTTCTTGCTAAAACATACTCCCAGAATATTTTTCTATCTCTTGCCTAGAAATTATTTTCTTTCTTAATGCCTAATTAAACTTGTGACAACAGAGAATAAAGCTAATAGCATGAATGAATGAACTGTGAGGACTAATATTATTACCTTAAACTAACTAATTTATTTCATATTTGTCTTGATAAAGGAAAACAGTGAAAAGAAAGGTAAGGAGGCCTGGCATCTGTGGCCTCCATTTCTGGATTGTCCTACGTCTAGGAACCTCTGTTATGGAAGGTCAGAGAGAAGAGCCATCTAGTAGAATCATGAGAGATTTTTCTCAAACCTCATCCCACTCACCCTTTGACCATCATCAGTATTTCAAGTCCAAGGATATTCTAATCTATATGAACAGGGTCTGGGACAGATCCTTCAATAATTAGTCTGAAGATGGAAAATCTGAAGTTCATGAGCAAGAAGCCCATGCTATTTGGGGCTCACTGAGGTTCTGGGTTCTGCTGTCCTGTGCAGACCCCACTCTGATCCTAGGTGGAACCTCTCCTTCAGTCATACCTTACATACAGATGTGACTTTGGTGATAAAGGTGCATAAGTGAGAGTATGGGCCAGCATGAGCCCATCTCCACTGGGACAAAGATAACTCAGAGTACCTACCTACTTGGTGAGGTCCAAATTGTGACTAAAATATTAGTCTTTGCTATTTGAGCCATGATTTAGAGTGCCAGAGACCATTCAAAGAATGAGAGACTTCTGAACTCTTTATTCCACCTTTTTAGATCTCACAATTCCATAGTGTCATTTGGGGTTTGAACATGTAGGACAATGTGTGGCTTTTCTTCAAATGCCCGAACCCAGATCCCATGACATTATTCTCCATTGATTAAGGTAATGTTGTTGATGGACCTCTAATGAAGTGAAGCCCCTGATAACAACATGGGAGGAAAACAAAGTGGGAAGGACTGTTTTGCCCCATATTCACACTCCTACTCTTTTCTGATGCTGTGTTTCCAGCGTATGACATGACCGCTGGCCAGATAGAGATTTATTCATCCACTTGCTGAGTGAGATCAGTGTTTATTGCAACATTCTCTTCTTTTGGCCAACACATTTGTGTGCACCTTACATAAGAATGTGAGATTCATGGCCAACCAATAACCCTGGAAAGGCCAATGTCTGGTGACACATTCAATATCCAGAGCTGTTAGGAGAGGTTGAGCCCTTCTTGAAGACAACCACTGTTGCACAAGTTGCCTCATAGTTACAGCAATGATTGGAGTTTAAATATAACCACACCAGGATAAAGGAGGGGGCAAAGTGGGCAAACACATGGCCATCCTTGAAATCACAGGCATGCTGGCAGCTTAGACTCCTCCTATCTCCCATAGGTAATAGCTCATTGTAGCCAACTGAGATCCAGCAGTGATTAATTAATCTAAGTAAGTGTGTTCATTAAAATCTACGATCTGCTTCTAATGGTATTTATGAAGATATTTAGAAGTAAAGATGTTCTCCAGTGTAGAACACTTTGTAAGAAAAATTTGCGAGAAGCACCCAGTCACTTGAGCTTTTAATAAATTCCTGGGTGAATTTTTAATCCTTGACTCTTGCCTGTGGAAATTTGGCTGACGGTCTAAATCTTGACATGGATCTTGCCCTGATTCTAAAGACCTTCCCTATCCCTGAGTCCCTATAGTAATTCTGTATATGTCACTCATTACATTTTATCTTGAATGGCCTAGTACAAAATTAAACGCTCCTCACTCTTACAATAGACCATTAACTATGTATGTGGGTTTGCTCTACTTCCCAACCATGTATTTCTTATGATGATATAGCCTTGTACTTATTTATTTCCCTCCCTTTCTTTCCCTTCCATTTATTCACAAGTATTTGAATACCTACTAAGTATCAGGGACATTATTAGAATCTGGGTCTATAGGGGTAAGCATGAGGCTTAAAAATTAAACTCAGTTACAATAAAATAATCTCATACAAATATGGTGTCACTGGTGCTCACTGTATTCTACTTTTATTGCAATAGATCTCATACTTTTTAAAAGTTTGAGCATTTGTACTTCCTAATCCTTTTCTTTATCCACAATTATTCTTTGGACTTCAGTGATAAAGTCAAATTATACTCTCTATATGTTTATAAATTAAACTAGCAGCAAAGTTACAACCAAAGTGACAAATTTCCACAAGCACATTGGTATATAAAGGGAGGGAGAATATAGTTCTCTTAACACTGCCAATGGGCAGTTTCTAAGGAAAAGGCATCCTTTATCTTCCTGGGGCAGCCCAGACATTTTCAGGAGACAGGCTAAAATCCCATTGTGTGAAGGAAATGGAGAGGCAAAAGGTAACAGAAATAATTTTTATTATAATTCTCACTGAAAAACAAAACATAAAACCAGTGAACATGAATATAGGTCAAAAGTCAATATTAAAATAGTTCA